CTCTTCCATATTTTTCTTTTACAATCCCACCATTTAACATATCCTTCAGTCCAAACGGACATGGAAACGAATGGAAAAATTGGACGAGCGGTAGTGATGAAGTTGACGAATTTATTCATGAGATACAACGCAATGCAAATGAAAGCAGAGAATTTATTGAGTGGATCCCTTATGATAAATTCAAGAATGTAGAATACGTTGCTAGAGGTGGTTTTGGTTCGGTTTCCAAGGCCGTTTGGACTGAAGGATATGTTAAATGGTGGGATTGTAAAAGAAAAATATGGAAGAGAAGCGGAGAAGATTCATGGGATGGATACGAAGTGGCTTGTCTAAAAAGCCTTGATCATTTTTCGAAGGAATTTTTTCAAGAGGTAACATTTAAGATATGTTTTTCACTCAAGCTCATACTTAATTAACAAATGTTCTTATGCTGATTAATGATAGATCAAGAATCAACTTAAGTTCAGAAAAAGCAATAATGCAATTGCGGTCTATGGTATCACTAAAAATCCTGAGGGAGGTGACTTTGTGATGGTTATGCAGTATGCAGAAAAAGGAAGTCTCAGATCAATGTTAAACGAAAACTACAATAAGTTAAATTGGAAAAAAAAGTTAGATATCTTGCGATTTATTGCTAGTGGTCTTTCTGAAATCCACAAAGAAGGTCTGGTTCATAAAGATTTTCATTCGGGTAACATAATGATGGCCGACGAAAGTGCTTCGTATATCACAGATTTTGGCTTATGCAAACCAATAATTTCAAATCCGACTAGAGATAATAAGATTTTTGGTGTGCTTCCGTATGTTGCTCCAGAAGTACTAAGAGGGAAAGACTACACTTCGGAATCAGATGTATATTCCTTTGGGGTCATCATGACCGAAGTGTTTACCGGGTATCCGCCTTATCATGACGTTTCCAACGATGTACACCTTATGCTTTCTATTTGTAACGGTCTTCGCCCAAGAATCAGACGCCCGGTTCCCAGACTTCTTTTGGATTTGATACACCGATGTTTGGATGAAAAACTCGAGAATCGCCCATCCTCGAGTGAATTGACGAGAACCCTAAAACGTTACTATGTTGATGTAAATCTCGAAAATGAGGAATCGGAGATATATAGACAAGTTATATCTATTGAGGAAGATATTGCGCGTTCACAACAAGATTATTCGATCGATTTCTCACAACTTAATTCTGATACCCACTCTACAGCTGTATATACAAGTCGTCTTTTGCCTAGACCTGATTTATTTAGTGCAGGTAAATTATTATAATTATTAATTAATTTTGTTTTTTATAATAAGCTATTTAATAAAATCCGAAATCCATATAAATAGAATCCAAACAGATCGAACTTGAAATTACAGATGATTTTCCTTTCTAAGCGAGTAATTACCTGGAAAAAACTTGATAGGAGTGAAATCATGTAAACCAAGGCTCGTGTAATTATTTTCCGAGTATACTCTTACGATTAACTCAATAAATAAAAAATTTGTGTTTATATTTGCTTAGTTTACGGAATTATATTCATGATATCAAATTACTTCAGTTCTGTATTGGGAAAACTTTGCGTTTCTAAATAAATAATAGCCTGATTACTGATCATAATGTATTGTATTTTTTTTTGTGAATTCATGAAATAAAATTTTGGTCAAGTGAATTTTAGGTCGAGACAAATGTTATATTATTAGCACTATTAAAAATCTTTTTTTAAAAGAATGTCTCCATATAAATACAATCATTAAGCTACGGTTTGAGTTCACAACTTTTTTCACACCATAACTTACTATTAAACAACTCATTATCTTTGAAAAAATATTAGTGACATACGCATTAACTCATTCGAAAATTTAGAAAATAAAATTTTGATTTTAATCAACACCAAAACTCGTTAACAATAGTATCCAGATAGTCACCTTCTCAACAGTTGAATTTTAACCAAACAACCTCTTCAAAATCTCAAGCTCATATTACAAGATTGAACATATATTAATGAAATTCAAAATGAACCATTCAAATTTTTATAAAAAGTGAAGTTTAAAAAAAAAGTTAAAGTCATATAAATAAATTGTTAAATTTAATTGGAGATAAGTTTGTAAATTTGAAATGATTCATAATAAATGTTTTATTAATGATTAATCTAATACTTTTTTTGTAACTTTTGTAATATAACCAAGATTATTTATTTTGAAATCATTGAAATATTAATTTTTTTTATATTTCTAGTTGATATTAATCTTTAATTATTTTTTCTTTTGTAAAAATTTTAAAGAAATCTGAATTATATATTTTTTTTCAAATATTTCTTTAAAAAAAATTTTAAATAAATTTATCAGCTTAATTTAATTTTATTTAAAAAAAATTGATAACAAATTTGATGGTTTTTTTACAATAGTTAGAATTTTATAAAGCTCAAAAATTTTATTTTTTTATAAAGAAGTATTAATATTTTTTATATTAATTAAAAAATAATGAAAAATTTATTTTAAATAAACTCTATAATTAACTTGTTTTATTATTTTTGAAAATAAAATCTATTTTAATATTTTTATTAATTAATTAAAATATATATATATATCTATTTATTTCTATATTAATATTAATAAAGTACATGTCTTTATATAAAATTTTAAAAATAAAAATTTTATTACTTAATTATTTATTTTAATTAATATTTAAAAAAATTAAAAAATTTTGGTTTTTTTGTTTAACAAAAAATTATTTTATATTTTTTATTATAAGTGAGCCTTAGTTCAAAAACTTAAAAACTTTTAAAATAACTAATACAATAAAACAAAAATTTTAATCAAAGTTTATTCAGGTTTGAAAATCATACTTATTTTTTAATTATATAAAAAAAGATTTGTGGCAATTCTTTTTTCTTTTTTTATACTTTTTCTTTTATTCACTATATTATAAAAACCATTTATATTAATATTATTATATATGTTAAATTAAATACTTTTTAAAAAATATACTAAATAAAGTTATTAGATCTATTATTTGTTTTAATACAATTTTTATATATAACTCTACTATAGTAACAATTTATTATATTGTTTCAAAATTTTTAAATCAGTTTATCTCTTTTAAATAACTCCTACTCTTTAATTATTTAATTAAATTTTATTAAAATATTAAACAAAATCAATTTAATTCAAATTGATTTTTCAATACAACAATAATAAACAATAACAATTGTATTTTTTATTTATGTTAACAAAAGTAATAACTATTAAATGACTATTTTATTGTTATTATATTGTTACAATATTGTTATTAAATCATTTTTATATTGTTAAATATAAATAAAAACTATATTATAACTGCTTTTCTACTATTTAAATTACTTTTATATTACTATTATATTACTATATGTTGTAGAATTATTTTTTTTTTTAATGTTAAGTGAGGCATTTCTCACGATCTTTATTAATAGAGTAAAATAATAATTGTTACATGATT